TTTGTCCTTAAATTTGGTGAGACAGCTCAGTAACCCTATCACAAATTCACACTTTTGCTTAAGTTAGTTAGAGTTTGGCCTATTTCATTTGTAACCATGCATCTTAACATAAACACCTTAGTAGAAGAGCTAGTTCTTCAGAAATATTTTCTTTTTCTTGTCTTGATTCTTTCTTATTAGGAGATGGGCTATAATTTGTACATTTTTAAAGCCCTAAATGCCCTTGGAGAAGTATAGCCTATTGGTTAGAACATGGGTTTGGAGCCAGCCCAAATTGGTTTCAAATGCTAGCTCAACAAAGGTTTACTGAGTGCCTTTGAAGCAACAGACCCCTTGTGGGTGAAAGGGATGAGTTAACAATGAACAAAAATCCCTGCCCGCACAGAGCTTTCTTCTAGTCCTCAGCAAATATCTGCGCGCCTACTCTGTGCCTGCACCGAGCTCTCTGAATATGGATGCCTGTTTACAAGATGGGGATAATGAATTGCCTTGTCCATCTGAAGGAATCTCGGTAAGCACTCGGTAAGGAATCACACACAGCAAGCACTCAACATAGAGTAGCCACGTTTGCTTTTAGACATGGAGTGTGCCTTGCAGCTACTGAGCGCCCACTGCATGTCCCACACTTGTCTTAAAATGGTACTGACATCCTGACAGAATTTACTCTCCAATGGGAACAAGTGATAATACAGGTGATACGTGTTGTAGCAGAGTAATGAGATAAAAGAATATGATATGAACACAGACACTGGAGCCACCCACCTGCTTTCAAATCCCAGCTTGCCCTCCGGAAAATCACTTAACTCTGCTACTGGGTTTATTGGGTTGGAAAACAGACCTAATAACGATTGGGACTGTTGAGGACCCAATGAGTTATCGTGTGTAAAGTACTTAGAACATGACTGGCACCTAGTGCTATATAAGGACTTGCTAATATTATGTATAAATTGCTATGGGAACACAGAGGAAGGAGAAACTAAGCCTCCCTAGAGGAGCCAAGGGAAGCTCTAAGGAGAGGACATCAGACTTGGACCTTGAAAGATACGCAGGAGTTTACTAGGTGAAGGGTAGGGTAGAGGGCATTCCAGGTGAAGAAAACAGTTTAGGCAACCGAGCTAACCCATGAAGAAATCATATGCAAGCCCTGGCTGGGGAGGTAAGTTGATTATACGCGTCATCCTGATATGCCAAGGTTTCGGGTTCGATCCCCAGTCAAGAGCACATACAAGAATCAACCAATGAATGCAGAGATGGGTGGAATGACAAATCGATGTTTCTCTCTCTCACTCTCAAATCAATAAAGTTAAAAAAAAAATCACACGCATTCAAATAACTAAAAGCTGAAACCTAGTTGGGTGGTAGATAAAGCCTAAGGCACCATTTTTGGCCACCAGCACTGCGGACCACCAAACTAGTCAGTTTGCCCTGGTAACTCTTGGAAACTGACACCATACCATAAACCAACACTTTAGTAGCATTAACAATGTATCCCCAATAAAGCACCTCCAATTTATAGCTAGTTTACTGGGCACTGCAATGTCAAACACTATGCTGTCTTCTTTTTTTCTTTTTTTAATATAGCTTTATTGATTTCAGAGAGAGGAAAGGAGAGGGAGAGAGGGAGATAGAAACATCAATGATGAGAGAGTCATTGATCGAGCCCACAACCCGGGCATGTGCCCTGACGGGGAATCGAACCTCGATCGCCTGGATATGAGGTCGACGCTCAACCGCTGAGCCACGCCCGGCCGGGCCACTATGCTGTTTTCCAAAGGACCTCATTTAATCCTTACGATGTGCCCTGGAATGGAGGTAATAGCTCCATTTTATATATGAGGAAGGTCAGGCTGCTTAAGCAGTTTCCCAAGTCACACAGATAGACTATTAGATAGGAAAGTGTTGAGCTGCACGTATAAATAGCAGTTTCTTTTTCCCCACATATAAAGAAGTCTGGGGTAGGTGGTTACAGCCCTTTGTTCAGTCATCCCACAATGCCACCAAAATACCTCCTATCTTTCCTCCCCACCACCTTTAGACTGTTAGCACTGGCCTGAGTCTCCATCAGTCTCACATTCCCTATAATGCTTTTTAAGTTCTCGTCTTTAAGATCTCACCAGCCAAGATTTTGTCAACTGAAATATTTCAGAGGTCAGCTCAAACAGCTCACTGATTTCACAGATGGGGGAATGAGAGATTTGCCCCTAGCGAGCTATCGGAGCTAATTAGTTAAAGCAGCCTGGAACTTGGTATTCTTTCCACGTTACTAATTTAGAGGAGACAGCAAGTTGCCCACCAAACTCTGTTCTCCCATTCTTTCTTGGCACATGGCTAGACTACATTTCTCAGCCTCCTTTGCAGGTAGGTGTGGCCATCTGACTAAATTCTTGCCAACGGGAAGTGAGCAGAAATACCCTCACCACTGGAGGTTATAGGCCATAAGACACCAGGTGTGCCTCCTCCATGCTCTGTCCCCTTCCCACTGGCTGGAACCAGTGATGACCCAGCTTCAACCGTGCAGGTTATGACAATGCCCCCAAGAGACTGGGGAGACATGATATAAGGAACCCGTGTCCCTGAATGACCGCTTGGAGCAGAGCTGCCCCACTGACCTGAACTCACTTCAGAAATGTTAACTCCCCTCAGAGTTGTTAGGTGAGAAACAAACTTCTTTGTTCTTTAAGCCACTGTATTGTTGAGTCTGTTACAGCAGCTTAGCTTTTTACCCTAATACAACCGTGCAACTTCCTTTGTGCGTATTCAGAACAGCTTTACAAATGACCAGTTAACCATCTTTTTAGAAAACAGCCCTAACCTCCCAAGTATGTGATAATCAAATAATGAAATTCCTTCCTGTGGCTACTATCCCAAGATTTCTTCATCTGGTTAAAGGCTATTTAACAATTGAAACGGATCATTTATGAAGAGACCTACTTAAGTTTTTATGCTTTCATACAATTATTTCAACAAATATTCCACTTTCTAGATGCTGGGGATATACAGAAAGTTTCCTACATTTATAAAAGCTTGTTTCTAGTGAGTGTTGTTTTTGTTTTGTTTTTAATGTTGTGCTGTGTTTTAAGCAGAAAAATTATCTTTTTAGAATGTGGAACTGAGGCTGAGAATACAAATAATGACTGAGAGCTACAAAGGATCAAACCATGTGCCTACAGATCAACTGTTCTCTTGCTTAGCCCTAAAAATCAAGCAAAGTATCCTAAAGACTAAGAATCCAGAGTTCTTTTCAAAGTATTTCCTAACTGCTTAGAACTGCATTGTCTGAACTGGTAAGAAGTATCCAAAGTCTAGTCAAGATTTTTACTTTATGTCAATTTCATCTCAATAAAACTGGGGAAAAAGATTTTACTGACTGAGGTAGGTGGACCTAATAGCTTGCTGGGTGGTAGAATTAATTACCCAAGCCATTCAGACAGCACTGCTATGACTGGAGACTCTGGGTACCTGGGCTCACCTGGGGATTAGCTCAGGCCAGATGGCACGAGATGGCATTCCTCCTCCTCACTCCAGGCTGAGCACACAGCCCGAAGCTGGTCCCTGTGGTCCTTCCCCACTCTCAGATGAGATTTGCTGAGATTCAGTTATTGGGTGAGAGGTCTGTCCTGGCTTTGCCACAACTTGCTCTGTGGCTGCGGAACATTCTTGTTTTGGGCCTCAGTCTCCCCATCTGTACAAGGTGATATGGCTCCTTCCATCTCTACATTTATGACAATCACTAAAAAGAACTGTTTTACTTCCATACACTCAACAGCAAAGTCATTCAGAGGGGCAGACAGAGAAGGGAAAGCCTACCTCAGGGCACTGCCTCAGACCAGGGCCCCGGGAAGATTTCTAGTGTCTGGCCTTCCCCAGGCTCTCTGCTGCTGGTGGAGAAATTCCATCTTGCTGAATTTACAATTCCTAAGAACAGGGACACTGGACACAGTCACCGTGCCTTAAATTTGGTAGATACTCCTTAGTATTAGGCACTAGTTTTTTTCTTTCAAGAAATTCCTGATTTCCAACTGCCAATGGCAGCAATTTTCAACTGGTATGTCGCAGCTGGCACACTGCTGTGCCATGAGAATTTTTAAAACATGCAACACCTATTTAGTCAGAGGCATTAATCTTTCCCCTAGTCTGTCAAATAAAAAAATGACAACAGCTATCACAACAATAGCCGTCTGGTACGAATGAATCAAAATTACACCTATTTTTTGGGTCAGGCTGGCAAAACCCTGTTTTTTGGTGTGTGCAGAATTTCAGTAGTTTATGTGCCATGAGATGGAAAGGGTGCAAACCGCAGCGAGATGGCAATGAGCTGAATGGGAAGTTGCTGCTTCAGGTATTTCAGATGGAAGGATTAAAGGCTTTTTGAGGCAGGATTATTAAAACTAGTTTTTCCTGCTTGTCCACTGAAACTTTTTAAAAGCTTTAAAACACATTTAGCAACTTGACTGAAGAGCCTTTCAGAAAGACTAAGGTTCCCCCCTAACAACAGCCAGCTCAACACAGTGCTCAACAGCCTGACTAAAGTCTGCCCGCTTCCCGTCCACGCCAGCTCTGCCACTGACTAGCTGCACTCCTTTGCTGAGCCTGTTTTCCCCACTGGTTAACAGGACTAGAAAGAGCATCTCCCTCCCAGGGCTGAGTGAGAAGGGAATGGATATAGTGTCGGTCCTGCTTGATTCACAGTAAGTTACATCTCCACTCCAGTGGGAAGATGGGGCTTCCCACCATTAGCTACTGAAGTAGTTAATACACTGATTGGGAAAATTATACCGTTTAATGTAAAGAACAACATGGGGTGGATAGAATGCTAATTTTATCTTTTGTTTTTTAATATATCTTTATTGATTTCAGAGAGAGGAAGGGAGAGGGGGAGATGGAAACATCAATGATGAGAGTCACTGATCGGCTGCCTCCTGCACGCCCCCTACTGGGGATCGAGCCCGCAACCCGGGCATATGCCCTGACCAGGAATCAAATAGCGATCTCCTTGATCACAGGTCGATGCTCAACCACTGAGCCACACCTGCCAGGCCTAATTTCATCTTTGACCAAAGAAATTCTTGAGATTCAAACCAGTTAAAGGGAAGGTAAAGCTCAATAAAAATCAAGGGGCCCAGGACACCCCACAGACTGGGGAAAGAGGGAGAAGCCAAGGAAGTCAAGTTGCGAAACCCAGGTCACATGGTACCACACTTGCAGCCCTGGCCCCGACTCCCGCCCCACCATCATGCCGTGCCACATCAGCTGCCTCGACACAAGCCTCCCCTAACACACGCACGCACTCCCGCACACCAACGTGAGGCACGTCCTCACATTGCCTTTGCAGCCCACATCACAGCTGTAATTCTGTAATTATTTGATTAATGTGGACTTTTTTGATCACCATTGTACTCCCAGAGTCTAGCACAGCACATGGCACATAAGTTCTAAAATATTTGCTGGCTGAATGAAGGGGCTGGCAATAGCTTGAGAATTCCTCACAGGCTGATTTTGGCCTAAACCCTGGCATCTGAATAAAATTCAGTATACAAAGGTGACTATATTGGGAGACCCTAGGATGGTGGTCAAGGCCAAAAACAGGAGAACTGACAGAGGTGGCAGGAGAAATCAATGCATACCCAGGTACTGCCAATAGGTAAGGTGACAGATGGAGACAGTATGTGCTATATGCTAACTTTTGGGCAAGGGAAAAATTAAAAATATATACATTTGTATTTGGTTTTGCTTTAAAACTCTTCAGATATGTAAGAAATTAGTAAATGATTATCTATGGTGGGAGAAGGGCATGGAGGTTGGAGTGAAATTTCTCAATGTCTTTTTATATCATTTTGATTTCTGAACTGTATTAAAAAAATCTGGTAAAAAAACCTTTTTTTAAATGTTAGAAGAAAAAGAAGGAGAGTAAGGCAAGTTTGATAGTTCTTTCTCTTTACCTTCTCTCTGTATGCACAGCTAACAATACATTTACCAAGGATTGCTTTTTAAGGTCCAGCAGAAGTGCTCCTTCTTCCACGATCCCTTCCCCTTCCCTCCAAAGTGAAATTCCACACAGCTCTTATGGCCTTTGATAGTCTTACCTAGGTGGGTTGTCTGTGTATATATACGATATTTATAAGCTCCCTGAAAGCAAGAACTACATCTCATTTTATCTCTGTATTCCCTCTTGCCTAGTTCAGGGCCTCTCATATAGTAGACTCTGAACAAAATAATATTACTTGAGAGGGGAATTACTGCTTAATGGGTACAGAGTTTCTGTTTGGGGTGATGAAAATGTTCTGGAAATAGTGGTGATGGTTGCACAACATTGAGAATGCAATTAATATTGCTGAATTATAAACTTAAAAATGCTTGACTTTATGTTATATGCATATACATATACTTAACGTTGTTGGCAGCTCAGGTCATTCCAGAAAGAGAGCTTCAACTGGAGATAACTTAAATCTCTAATAAAATGAACAGACAGCGTGATTATATGAAGAACATCAAATCTGAAAAAAAGCCATCTGTTGATAACAAAGCATATTGTGTATAAACTAGACATGGACATATATATCTTTTCAAGGCCTAAAAAGGCTCTTGCAAACTTTTCCTTTATTTAACTTTCATTAGAAATGTAGATTACTAACTCAATACAAAGACAGTAGTCATAGTAATTTCACACAGGAAGACCTCAACAAATGTCCAAGTCTTTAGTTTTTCAAATCCCATGTCACAGCCATCTTGGTCTGATTCTCTGCTCTATGGAATTCTAAGAACTGATTTGGTTCACTTAATCATCTCACTGGGGCCAGTCCTTTCCTGCCATTCACTCAAATCCAGAACTCCTGATTTGTGGGGTTCACAATACTTCAGTCATCTATAAAAATGTCTGGAAATTAGGTATTTTTAGCCCAAGTCTGAGACATAAAACTTCTTTTTTAAAGGATATAGTGAATCCAGGTATTCATCACAAAAAAGGTCCTCAAGTGTAAAAAAGTGCAATCTGTGCCTTTTAAAAATAGAACCTTTAAGGTTGATAGGAAAAAATCCCTTCCTGAACTCATCATTGCCAGACACATTAGCCACACAGGAGCTGACAAGACCTGCTGTTTCTATGTCAGACAACATGACACTTTAAAAACCACACCATTAAATGAAAGAAAATGGTGGGAGCTTTCTGTATAGCACTCCCCCACCCAGACTGGAACAGACATAACCCTCCCTCTTAAACTGGATCCCAACACCTTTGCAAAGGCCACTGGACATGTCTCTTAAACACTGGGTTTCAGCTCTTCATCATTCCACCCTGGGGATCCCTTCTCTTTAAGCTCTTTGTCACGGCCTGGAGAAACACTCTGACTTTCTATGGTGGTGAAGGCATCAGAGTCCAATCTTCTTCTTTTCTTCAGATGGTGCAAGTGGGATTTGGATTTCATATGTGCTAAAACAAAACAACAACAACGAAAAAAACATATAAAAAACTCATTAGGCATATATACACAACCCAAGGACATGGACAATGGTGGGGAGAGGGATTGGGGAGAGGGAAGGAACGGGGTGGAACGGGTCATTGGGGAGAAAAAGGGACATCTGTAATATTTTAAACAATAATAAAATTAAAAAAAAAAAAACATTAAAAAAAAAACCACTCATTAGGATTTTCCAGAATTAATCCTAGAAGTACATAAAATTAACAATGTAACCCTTCTCTTTAACAATAACAGGATCAACACATGTACTGGTATAGCTGCTTAGCAATCTTAAAGGAGTAAGTTATATGGCCAGCTAGCTAGCAAACTAGAGCGAGCTACCAAGTATCAAGTGCACCCTGCTAGGTGCTAAAGCACCTCCCAACAGTCTTGCAGATAGTACTACACAGCTCATTTTATACAGGAGGGAACTGAACTTCGCAGAGATCTTACATTGTGTCCAAGACCACACAGCAGGCGAGCTCCTCAGCTTACCTATAGCCCAAAGAGAGGCCCAATTTTCCAGAATGGGGCTTCCTATTACAGATACATTTCAACTCACACGACTAAAAAGGTACAAATCCGAATCCTTATCTGTATTGCAGGACAGTTGCCAGCTGCCCTGCCCTGCTCATAGGCCTGCACCACCCAGGGATGTCCTTCCCACTTCTTTGCTGTTCCACAGGTTGCCCTCCTGCTCTGACATCCCTCTTGCCTGAGTAAGATAAGCCATCTGAATGACTAACCCACAAGGCTCACATTATGCAGACACACAATGCTCCGGGCAGATAAGGAGAAACCTTCTTCTCTAACATCCCTTCTGAGGGTCCACAGAAGCAGTAAAGCTACTGTTGCCTGATAGCAAGTTCTGACCTCTCACTCCAAAGATAGTTCCCTCCCTCTGACTAACTCACACAAGCTCCCTTTTCACTAGCCTGTTCTTTTTCAAGGAAATCTTATTTGGGAACACCTAAAGAAATACACAACTAGGTTAAATCCCATTTTCTACATATTTAAACCATCATTTTTAAGGGTTTAGAAGCAAAAATAAGGAAGAGGTTACAAGTCAAAGAAAAGTTTACTTGGGGGAAAAAAGTCAGCTTTGTTCCCCAGCTAGAGCCTAAGGCAAAAAGAAAAGGGGGGAGGGGGCTCTGGACTGGTTCTCCATGGCAGCAGGAGACAGGAGCAAGGACTTGACAGATGGCACCATAGAAGGGCTTACAGAAGCTAAGCTCACAAAGGCTCACAAATGTTGCTTCTCTAAGGCTATCCCTGAAGGACACTGGACAAATCGAACCACTAAGTTTCCTTTAGAAAAAACAATCAGACACTCTCTCTTCCCCTTTCATCATTATAAACCAATGACAATCGAGGCTTCTTCTGCTGCTTGGGCAATGGCAGTCGTCCCCAGTCTCTGACAATGGAGTTCATTTTGCCAGAGTCACCAGTTAATAGAACTAATCATTCTACTGGTTGGTATGGGGAGAAAAACCTACTTCTCAGAGAATCCAATGCAAAGCAGTATTCTGAATAGAAGGATTCAGCCACTAGGTAGCTCGATTGTGCATAAAAGGAGCGAACCTTAAACAAGTTTCTAAATGCAATGTAAATGCAAGGCTTGGAGCCTGAGGCCATTGCTTTGACTGGACTATAGAAATCCAAGAGGGAGTGCAGGGTGACTCTGTGGCCGAGGCAGATCCAGGCTCTAAAACAGAAACAGAGCCTACATGCAGGGCTGACCCTCGGTTGGTCGGAAGTACCTTATAAAGAAGGTAATACCTGTAACCACCTTCTTATACGTGACTGATAGCCATGCGTTCACACTATGCTAGGGTGAATGTTAAGTTTCCCTTGACACTTTTCATTAGTTTTAGCAACCACCACGAGTTCAACATATTACCTTGAAAATGACTGAAGAGACACCACTTCTGAAGAATGTAATCAGGAAGAGGAACTGCACTTCCTGCTCCCTCCCGGCCTTTGCTGCTTCTTTGGTCTCTTGGGTGAGTTACCTGGCTTCCCTTTCAATCCTACCTCACCCAACTGACATCTAAACATGAAAGGCCAAGGAACTCCTATAAGGCAGGATCACAAAAGTCAAAGGAGCCCCGGAAAGTTAACAGTATAAAGTACCTACCCTAGCTGAAGCTAGAGGGCATATGATCTTCCTTTGAAATTCAGAATAGAGATAACTGTCCAACTTGGGAAGGCATCCATGAAATTTGAGTATAAGCTCTCAGAGGAATCCTGCCCTCCCTTTACGAATACGCAGACTCCAGCATTCAACCTAGCAAAGACCTTGAAATTCATGAAGTCGATGTGACCCACCCTTGCAGATTTCTCTGTGCCTTTCCCCAGACTCTACCTGCCCATTCACGGTCCCCAATGATGATTCGACCACACAGGTCACACATGTGATAACTTCTCTTGTTCTCAGTTTCATTGCATGGCATTTTTACTGGAGCGGCAGCAGGCTTACGGCCCTGAAATAGCAAAGGGGGGATGGAGGAGAAGCATTCAATTCAGAGATCTGGATATCATTCTCTGATATTAAGGAGAGTGGGATTGTCTCAAGATTCCTTTTTCTCATCCCAGAGAGCAGGTGGGCTGTGAACAGGTTTTAGTAACAACCTTTCTGAATGTGAAAGTATAAACACAGCCTCCAGAGATCTAAAAGCAGCCAGCCCTTCTGCTCTGTTTCCGCAGAAAAGAAGCCTTGGTTCCCGACATAGCAACAAAGGTGTTAGCGAAGGAAGGCTGTTTGAAAAGCAGACAATACGGTACCATGATTAATAATCACCTGGATGAAACTTTGCACAATTTCAAGAGCAGGTTCAAGAACAGACTCCTCCCACTTTGAGATATCAGATACTTCTAAGCCATATATTGGGGGGACACTGGGACCAGGTCCTAAAGATGACAAAGAAAAAGCTGTGAGAGGTCAGCTTCCAAGATCTAATCTATTCTGCTTCTAGTATTTCAAAATCCTCAAGGGAAACATGGAGGCCAAAGGAATTAACATCCTTACCATGCCATTCATTCTAACCAGAAACATGAACAAAACAGCTACATACAGTCCAAGAAAGACCTAGAAGGTTGACTGGTCTGCAGCCAACAAGTCTAGCTATATAACCCAGAGTCTGGAGTATAGGATATTCCAAATCAGTCAGGAAAACAATATAGAGTAACAGCTTTAATGACCACAGTGTGGCCTATAATATAAAGACAGTGCACGCCATAGCAGGAAATAAACTAATAGCTTGAAGTACTTTTGAGTGGAGATAAGACTGGAGGTAGCCAAAAGTACAAGCTATAGGTATTTCATCCATCTAAGCCAACCATGTATGGTCTCTGCTGGTAGCTTCCCCAGTCTATAGAAACACTAAATTGCCTTCCACAGCTAGGTTAAGTCAGTTGCCTAAAAGCAAAGAGCATTGTCCCATGGACAAAAACATCAAAGTCCTCAGGATGCCAACGGCTAGCAGGTGCTAGCCTTTTGATTGTGCCAACCACAAATAAGATTCTTCTTAAAGTGGACTAGGCTGCACCTGCCACCACACGGAAAGGTGAGACTGGGAGGGTGCAGGCAGCATCCACAGAACACCTGGTCTTGGCTAAGCTCTGCACCTGTTTCCAGGCCACTCTATATTTTCCTTTCCCCTCGAAGTCCTTTGTTGGGCTTCTGTGCCCTGTCTAAGCACCTTTCAACAAGTTCTCGGCTCCCAGCTGCTATTCCTGGCTTGAGTCCAAGGCCAAGCTGGGGTGGGGAAGTCCCTCTGGCTCCTTGCCAGAACCATATCCCAGCAGACCAGCCCTGGCCAATCACACACAGCTCCTGATTTACAGGGCAGCTGTGCCTTTCACACTAGCACCAGGACTGTGCCGGCATATGCATGAATGAGGAATGGGCATATGATGCGCTGTGCCATCAACCCCGCCTGACTCAGAGATGGGGGGGTTAACTGTGGCTTTACCACAGAAGAAAGTTCCAAATCATTACAAAAACCATCTTTTGTTACAGACTAATTGTAGCCCTGGGGAGAAGAGAAGCTGCATTAGAAATTCATAGTAACTTCCATTTCAGCTGACTCAGACTTCCTCTATCTAACAGGACCTGCAGAGAAAGCAGGATAAGTAGAAGAAAGTGTAAAGAGCCTCTAGGCACCAGAACAACAACGGAGAGCTCCGTGAGAGACTGAGAGCCAGGAGAGAACTTCAGCAATCTGCTGGTAAACGACGTGAATCAAGGTGTGTATGTTCAGAGGCACTGAGAAGCAGGGGTGGAGGGCCACTGCTGTCCTTATTTGTAACTGAAAGCAGAAGTAAAAGGTAAATGGGATGATTCAGAAGCATATTTTAAAAGTACCCACAAGATAAAACTGGGGTTTCCACTTATGCTTAATCTCTTAATAAGCACACAGTTTCTTACCTGAGGCCAACACTAATGCTGTCTAGCTAAAGTTATGGCTAAAGGAAACAAGAACGGTGGAAAGCAGAGTGTGGGCTTCAGAGTGAGGCCTGGATTCAATACTCTACTGCTGAATAGCGAGGGGGTTTCTAGTAAGTGACTGAACCTGTCTAAGCCTCCATTTCCTCATCTGCAAAAAGAAAAAAATAACATTGACCTTGAAGGCTCGATAATTTACATATAGCACCAAATTTAGTGCCAAGGATCAAATGAGTGAGATTTTCCTTAAAAGTGCTACCCAGCCCTGGCCGGTGTTCTCAGTGGTTAGAGCGTCGGGGAGCGCACCAAAGGGTCTGGGGTTTGATTTCCGGTCAAGGGCATGTACCTGGGTTGCAGGTTCGATCCTCAGCCCTGGTTGGGGTGTAGGCAGGAGGCAACCAGTCAATGTGTCTCTCTCCTAGCAATGTTTCTCTCTCTTTCTCTCTCTCCCCCCCTTCCACTCCCTCTAAAAAATTAATGGAAAAAATACCCTCAGGTGAGGATAAACAAAAACAAAAAACAAAAAGTGCCATCCAACTAAAATTAAAGGTGAAGCAGTTTGAAGTACCACATATCTGAACACAAAGCACTACTGGTGAAGGTTCTGTCTTTTTATACTGCTCATCTGGCCCAAGAACCATTTCAACTAGGAAAGCCTCCCTATAGAAATGTGAATGCTCTTCAAAATTAGAAGCGAAAATCAACCCTGAGCACCAATTCTGCTAAGAGGTTGCTATTTTGCTCTTACCAGTTCGCAGCCAGCATGCATGTGTTCAAGGCATAAGGCAGATTCCTTCCTCACTGCAAAGATTTGTTTTCTGAGAGATCACAAGAAAATATCCCAGGGCAATCATTTATGCAATAGACACCCACCCAGGTAAGGTCACCATTCTTAGAACAGGTCCAGAAACTAAAGTTCATTTTCTGGGTGAGCTGAGGACATCTATATTCTATTGAAAACAGCCACAGGGATAAGGAAAACCATGAGACTTACTGCTCAAAAAACGATTTTTAACCCATCGGTTTTGCTTCCGGGCATATCTCTTAGTCACTTGTTTCAGAGCCTCAATACCTGAAAGATAAAGTACATAGAAGAACCTCTAAGTACTTTTCACCCTGACAAAAGGCAGGCCCACCCAGCCCAGCAGAAAATTAGTCACAGCAGCACACTGGTGGACACTTGGTACACAAAAATCTTAATTGTGAGCTGCAGGTCATTTGGGACTCTTCTAGCTTCAGTTCTTTCTCCAACCATATCAGCAGGGAACTCTGTCACCCAAGGATGTCCAAGGCTAGGTTCGATGGAGAAATTCACACCTTTCTTTAGGAGCTGGTTACTAGTCTCTGGTGTGCATTTTCCCTCAGTGATCAGGTACTCGTGAAATTCCTTGAAGCCAATTGATTGGAAGATACCATGTTGATAGTCCTGGCTGGGAACAGGAGAGCATCAGCAGATGAGCCATTACATCTGAGAGCTAGCAGGGCCTTGGAGATGATCTAGCTGAGTCATTTCATCCCTTAGATGAGGAAATTGAGATCCTTAGCAGTTATTGCCTCTCTAAACTCCTTCCTCCACCACCCCCACCAGCTGCCAAGTTACTTCCCTTGAAAATTAACTCCTGAGAATGCTTGGCAGATTAGAAAATTGCAACTGTAACAACTACACCAAACCTCCTTCCAACAAACCTTGCCAACGCCAAGGACAAAGGCTAACAAACAAAAAGACCCAAAGCCAATATTATGTTTATAGTCTTTTGACCATAAGGAAGGGATGGAGAGTAGGTTAAAGTAGTAAGTCAAATCCTCACCTACTTTCTGCAACTTTCTTCTGATTATAGCGTCTGTGAAAATCTCTCAGTTCATCCAAGAGCCCAGCAGCGAGCATGTCATCCACCCGCTTATCCAAACGCTTATCTAGAACTTGAATCAAATTAGCTCATCACCAGCAAGCCTGTTGGTGTGTACTATACACTTACATGATGAATGGACAGGCTACACAAAAAAGAGAATTTGTTCAAATGGAGGAAGGGTTCAGAGTCCAAAGACTGTGTAATAATTCATATAATATTTAGTCACACTAAGACTCTGCAATTCCAGTAAAAATAGCCAAAATGAAACACGTCTTCTTCTTATATAAAAAGCAAGCATACAGTTGCACCTCTTACGAGGACAAATATCTTACTCTCATACGGAATGGATATCCACTGTTTATTTTAGAGGCAGCTGAGAGCCCACTGGTTTACCCTTCTTACTTTTTCCATGACATTTGTTATGCTAACTTTGTGTTATTTCACATTTAAGAACTATCAGATAACTCCTTGGACAGGAATGAGGAACTTTAGTCCAAAGCCATCCTTGGTGTATCCTGAACTACTGCGCCACACAAACGAGCAAAGAAAGAGAGGTCACAATCATTCAGATGTGGTGGTCAAACAAAGCTTTATTTTAGATCAGATACCATTATTTTATGCTGAATTGTAGGATGTTTTAATTTACAAAAATTTCATTATGGCCCTGGCCGGTGTGGCTCAGTTGGTTGGGTGCTGTCCCATGCACCAAAAGGTTGCCGGTTCAATTCCCAGTCAGGGCACATGCTTGACTTTCAGGTTCAATCCCCAGTAGGGAGCGTACAGGAGGCAGCCGATTGATGTTTTGCTATCACATCAATGTTTCTCTCTCCCTCTCTCCCTTCCTCTCTCTAAAAATCAATTAAAAAAAAACTTTTAAAAAAATTTCATTAGGAAAACATTACCTTTTTCTATAAACTTATAACTAAAATTAATAACAAAATTTCACCATTTCAGTCATGATCTTCTTCATTTCTGCCATTGCTATTTTGTGGCCTGCAATGATACTAACCCTTGTTTCTATCTTCCTAAGAAGTTTGCATTTATTGTGGACTCTAGATGTGTCAGACACATTCTGAGCCCTTTGTATTATTAACTCAACTAACCTTCAATGAAGCTGTGAGATATGTATTAACATTATCTCCATTTTACGGAGAGAAAATTGGGGCACAGAAAGGTAACTAACTTGCCTTAAAACTCACAAGCTAGAAGAGGATGTGGCAGGAATTTGAATCCCAGACATTCTGGTTCAGAGACTGCTCTTAAGACCATTATACTGCCTATTCTCATAATAATCTCATCTTTCCAGACCTAGCTCATAGGCTACCTATACAGATTGGTGCCTGACTCCCCCGCAGAGAAATCCCTTCTCTTTGGCCCCACAGCACTTTCTAGACCAACATTTATCACAATGTAGTAGTATATGTATCATTATTTGTTGCCCCACCAGACGGGGAGCTTCTTAAAAGCAGGCACTGTATCATATTCACCTCTGAAATCCAAGTACCATGCAGGATGCTTGACACTTCAACCTTCTTCATAGGAGCCTTCCATCTCTTTAGCTTTCTCCTTTGGATCTTCCCTGGATGGCAATCTCTTTTCCATCCCACCCATCCATCTTATCCTACCCTTGGTATCTTATCCTAGTGCCAGGGCTGCCCTTACTCCCTTTCCAGATAGACATTTAGGAGAATGGCACTGTGCCTTACTAAGTCAACAAATAATAGTAATGAAAGTAAAATTAATAGCTAACACTTGTTTAGTGTTTATTATGAGCCACTCATGGTTGCAAGCATTTTATATATAATAATGTATTATTATAAAATCTACCTCGAATGGACTCCAGGGCATCAAAAGGCTTTTACCTGTCTGATCAGCATGAAGCCAGAGTATGCAAGAGTTAGGGAACTTCAGAGGGCCTCCAAGTGGACCACCACCTTCTTCTGCATGTTGACGATGAAGAAATTCACTATGAGAGATTCCCGTTTCTTCAAACACTTGCAAACTCCTAAATCATTTGGGGGGAAGCAGGGAAGTAAAGCCATAAAAACTATTAGGAAATATTAATTCTCAAGGAGAAAGGCTATTTATTATAAAATGTCTCATTCTCATTTTCACTGCATAAGCCCCTAAAGATATGAAAGTCCAGGTTACAACTTTATAGCTACTCAGAAAGGGGTCCTAAAGAAAATTTTAGGTAAAGTAAGAAATAATACTATTCCTCTAAACACACATCAATTTTTCTGAAATCAGTTAAACAGGTTCAGAAACAATGGGTTTCTTCTNTACTATTCCTCTAAACACACATCAATTTTTCTGAAATCAGTTAAACAGGTACAGAAACAATGGGTTTCTTCTACACACAGAATGGGACTTACTTCAGGTAAGTGGTAAAAGAACTTATTTGGGACACTTTGTTACAAGACAACAAGTCTAGTCTCGCTGGAATGCCTTTCCCACAGCAGAAAAGTATGTTGTATAGCCAGCTCATCAACTTTCTTTCTAAATATGTCTAAAATTCTGACTAATTCAGTACTCTACTAGCACAAAGATCACTGAGAAAAGAACTCACATACTTACTCTTAAGCCACCATCCACTCTGTTGGTATCTGCTATGTTATGCAGCACTAGGTAATTTAACTCCCAAATCTATACTCTACCACTCTGGGCGATTGCAACTTATCAGCTTGAAAGTGATCTTTCCCTTCCTGACCCAATTCTACTTCCTGAAACCCTAACACAAGGGTAGAGACCCCTTGTCATTTCTTATCACTGGTCATTCAAAAAGGACCTATGAGGAAAAAATGTATAGTGACCTATCTCACTTTTCTGGAGGTTAGAATACAGGCTCAAACTAAACAAAGATGAAAAAAGTCCTCCAGTTCTCTCTAAAGAGAGAGTCTAGAGCTCTTGCTTAGAATCTATTGACACATATGAAGACACAATTCTAAACTCATTACTTAATAGTTTAGAAGCAGAATATGAGGAGAGGTGGTAAGAACGAACTACTTGATAAAAGGAGAGAATAACAGACCAAGCTCCAAAGTCATATCATAAAAAAATATAAAAATGAATGTTCATCATAAAGTTCCCGAGTTTTCCAAAAATTTTCTGAAAGATTTCTATTAAAATGTTTGGATACTAGAAAGTACAAACTTCATTTATCTATAATATGTGTTATCACCAGGGTGATACTGCCCTCAAGGAGGCAAAAAAAAAACCCCTTAGCTATTATAAGATGTGTCATCCTCCAAAGGGCAACCATACCCCAAAACGCTTATTCTTCAGTATTAAAACTTCACTGATGTGGAAAAGGAAGGGGGCGCAATTAGGAAAAAAAAAGTATAAAATGGCTTCTGGGTGGGGTGAGGGGCAATAATGAAAAAATTCAGTAACATGATCTAGAACATTCGAGTTGGACACTTCAAAATCCCTATCAATACCAGAAGTTGCTATAATATTTAATCTGTATAACCACCCACATAGTAGGTACTCTGTTAGATTCCCCCCCCGCCAAATATAGTATTACTGCCAACACAGAAAAATACATCCAACACATGAGGCTGCAATTTCAAAACAACCTGAGAAAACATGACCTTATGAATTCATTCACCACCTCTCCCTTCCCTTCAAGAAAATCTCCATGTGTAAAGGTGAGCTGGTCTATGAGACAGTTTATAACATCTACCTCCCACTGGGAAAGCTGCTGGGGCAGAACTCAGCATTGCACAATCAATTATGAAACCCAAATCACAATGTAAACCGACTGCATGCCAGAAAAATTTATATGAAAACTGTTATACAAGCAAAGATCAAATAGAAAATGAAGCAAGATTACATAGGCCCCAGGGAAAAACTGCATTGTATATGCATTTTAAATGTAACAACAAAGTAGGGTATAACTACTTATGGGAGGAGGTGGACTGCAGCAGTAACTCAGGACCTCCTAACCTTCTAAGCTGTAAGACATCAATCTCCACTAACTACAATTACCAAACCTATCTCTCATCACCCAGGCACACTGAAGAACTGACTGCACTCTAACTCTAAAGGAACTCTGGGGTCAGCGGGCCTGGGCTTTCTTACCTGGCCACTTTGCGCTTGTCATGTGGGTGCAGCTTGGCAGCCATTTCTGGGTCCACCTGGCTTAGGCGTTTGTGAAGTGCATGGCCATCCTCCTTTTCAAGCTCTACTTTCCAGTCAATCTCTTTCTCAGTGCTCATCTCCTGGGGTTATTAAATGAAGGTTTAGAAGTAATTTTAATTCAACAAGCATCAACACAGTTTATGTGCCAGGCACTGGGCGAAATGTTAGGGATACAGAATAAAGATGAATCAGGTCTTGCCATACAGTGTGAGACAAATCATAAACAGAAAATTCCAATACACCATGGTAGTGCTGTAGCAAACAAAAAAGAAGAAAGACTTAATGCCTAGGGAAATACTCAGGTACCCTGCTTCCTTGTGAGAAATGCAAACAGGTACCAGGGCTAGCATGTCTATATTAATACATCGAAGAGTCTAGTGTTCTCAGCAAGTGTAACCAAAGAGTGAATCAGAATGGCTAGCACACTATAGTTTGCAAAGTCCCACCTATGCAATAGCATCTCTGTAGGAAAGGTTAGAATTGGACATCTCCCTGACACATAAGACTGTTACAGCCAGGAAATGCTGAATCAGACTAGTACACTGCTAACTTACAAGGGGATGCTAATTAATCCACAGAGGAGCATTTTTCCCACACACAGCCCCTGCCCTTAGGCCTGCCTGGAGGAGTACACTTCACCTATGGAGGTGGCATTTGCTTCAGAATATTAAGTAGGAAAATTATAGTTGCTGAGTATAAGAAATAGGCAAGAGTCAACCTTCTTCCCACTAAAATAAGCTGGCAAGAAAAAACCCATTTCCTCAGTGAGTTATAAGTGAACTAAACATACCTTAGCACTGATAAGAACTTTCCAGAGCAGAGACTCAATGTAATAATTGGTTCCTCCCACGACAATAGGAATTTTGTCTCGGGCAAATATATCTTCAATGTGAAGATTAAGAAAGACATCACAATGTTTAACATTAGAAGAGAATCCTGACTCACTCAGAAAGGCGGGTATTAGCAAGAAACCACATTCAATTAATTGTCTGGAGAGCAGAGGAAAAAGGGTAGAAACCAAGATGAACTGATACTAGTCTTCAGTTTCCCACGAATTCTCAGAATCATCTCCTATCAGTTCTGAAGGGACTTGCATAAACCAGAGACAGATAAATGATTGTAATTAATTCTAGTTCTAGAACTTTCCAGACCTCGCTGCTAAAATTCAAAGTTTGCTTGGTATTCCAAATCAGCTTAATGAGCACAATCCAAGGACTCTCACAGAACCAAGTGAAAGCTGCTCAGGAAGCCACCAAGGTGACGTCCATTGCTTTCTAAGGCAAAATACAAACTGGTTCTCTAAGCCGTAGTTCTTAGACTCGGCCTTCACCATTATGTGGTAGCAGTGCACATTTCAGCCACTTGAGACTCCACTAGATAAACTGAGAAGCACTGGTTCTAAAGACAGATTTCAATTACCAGCTCCAGTTCTTGGACACGTTATTCAACCTGTCTGAGCTTCAGTTTTCTCACCTGTAAAATCTTCATGAGTTCTTATAAGCATTAAATGTGACAATGCAAATGAGTCCCCACCACAATGCCTGAAATACTTTCTCAATTGAGTAAGCATTCAATTTATAATCTACTTCAGTCACTATTGTTTTTATATCTCTGCTACTTAGAATTCTTCTCTTTAGAACTCTGTTGAACAGATAATTATCTGCTTTAAGAAGGCTTTGCTTCTGAGGATAATTGATAAAAAGACTTTCAACCCAAACAAAGACTCATTTACACACTTCTTTCCCTTGCCAGCCAGTCTGTGGACACAGACATAGATGACCTCTTTTCTATCAGAAGCCCACTAACCTTTAAGAATTTGGGGTGGAGTGGAAAGATGTTAGCAATCAAGGATTACATAGGAAAAATGTTATGTATTTGGTTTTTTAAAAGAAATAAATTCTATATTCCACTCCTTAAATTAAGTATAGAAAGTATATAATTACACAGTAGTTGTAATAAAACTTCAAACATATAATATAATTAACAAAAGGAAAGGGAACAAGGGAAATAAAAAGGGAAGGCAAACAAGTGAGATACCAGAGGGGGAGAGTGGAAAAGAGGGAGGGAAATGGGTAGGAGATACGGAGTGAAAAAGTTTAACTTGTTTACATAAGCCATTGAAACTACTGTGATCCTGGGCAAAACCGTTCTCTCTGGGCCTCAGTATGGAGTACCTTCATTGGTCTAAACAAGAAGGCTGACTGGCTACTTCTTAAGGTATTTTCGGCTTTGACATTCTGATTGTAGGTTCTTATCTAAATTCATTAAATCGCCAATCCTGTAAATGACCTGATTAAATCTTATTCCTATTGTTGCTGCCCTTTGTAAATTTTAATTAGCTTTCTATTTTCTTTAAGTTCTTCCAGAACAATCCGACTGTCCTACAGCAACAATGTACTTTGGTGATATATTTTAATTTACAAAGGGCTTTCATATACATTATCTCATCTGATACAACTGCCTTGTAAAGCAGGTAGGGCAAGAATTATTATCCACATTTAAATCTCTGCCCATTTGAGAAGCAAAAAAATATTATCTCATTATTTTGATTTGCATGGCCCTGATTAACAGCAAGGACAAACCCTTTTTCATATTTATCACCATTTGTATTTCTTCCTTTGTGAATTACTACTCATGACCTTTAGTTTTTGTACTGATTCATAGTGTTCTTTATATACTAAGTATATTAATATTTTGCCTTTCCTATGTTACAAATATTTTCTCCCTGGTTTGCAGTCTGTTTTTTAACTTTGTTTATGGTGAGCTGTTTTCCTTTTTTTAAAAATTATAAAGTATCCAATATACATATAAGAACATAGATCCAATATACAAATACATATTTTAACATGTAAATTATGAAGCTCAGTAATAAAACAAACACAAATGAACCCAATGTAAGAAAAGGAATATTATTAATTCCTTTAAAGTTTCTGAGTATGCATACCCATCTCAACTCCCAACTCAACTCCCAACTTCCCGTCTCTCTGACGGAACCACTATCTTGAGTTATTTCGGGG